AATGTATAGATGTATACCATATTTGTATAGATAAATTAGTCATTTTATAATTAAATGTCTCAAAAACGTGTGCATAAAGGGATATCGACGATTAATTGCGAAACATGTTCAATGCCAGCACATTTCTATCATCATTGAATATAGTAAAGACGATGGATTATTCGATTGACATGAATTTTATTTATCCGAAAGATCTCGTTGCATTCGTGGACGTTCAATTTTCGACGACCTTTTCTAACATTTGTGGCCGTATATCGGCAATAACACGGCGAATGTTGTCTTCCAAATAGTTAAGCGTTTCTGGCTTATGCGCATAGACCAATGACTTTACATAATCCCACCAGTAGTCTAGCGGTGTTAAATCACAAGATCTTGGAGGCCAATTCACAGGTACAAAACGTGAAATTAGGCGGACACCAAACGTGTCTTTCAATAAATCGATTGTGGCACGAGCTGTGTGACAAGTTGCGTCGTCTTGTTGGAACCACAGCTCCTGGACATCATGGTTGTTCAATTCAGGAATGAAAAAGTTAGTAATCATGGCTCTATACCGATCACCATTGACTGTAACGTTCTGGCCATCATCATTTTTGAAGGCGTACGGACCAATGATTCCACCAGCCCATAAAGCGCACCAAACAGTCAGTTTTTCTGGATGTAACGGTGTTTCGATATACACTTGAGGATTAGCTTCACTCCAAATGCGGCAGTTTTGTTTGTTGACGTAGCCATTCAAGCAGAAGTGCGCTTCATCGCATCATACGATAAAATGAACGTAGTGCGCAATACGTATTCCGCACAGAACCATTATTTTCGAAATTAAATTGCAAGCGTTGTTCAAGCGTGAGTCTATTCATAATGAACTGCCAAATCAAACTTAGAATAAATCACTTGACAGCTGTTAAATCGGTCGCCATCTCGAACAGCAATGTCAACTTAAAGTTCTATACCTCGAAAAAAACACCCTATATAAGTGTGTATATACATAGATTCTTTATATTGGCATCCAGTTGGATGTGTGAGAGAACTTCTCAAACCGTTAAAACAAGAAATGTAAAAAAAAGTAAATTGGAATTTAATAAATTACAGAATTGAAAAACAAATTGTTAGGAAACATATACAAAATAAACGAAAAAAATCAAAGTCATCGGATGATTTGTTTACAAATTACAACTGCAGTCAACTTGAAAAATGTAGTTTCGATAAAAGCGCGTTTATATATAAACTGATTGAACGAATTGAACTGAGCGGCTACATTTTAGAATTCTGTAACTGAAAAAATATTTGAAATATTCACATAAAATTTGAGTACGTGTTTTTTATAGGTATAGACTCACTAACAAAAAATAATTTTTTTTTCGGGGTAGGTATTCATCGGGAAGACTGATGAATTTTATAAAACTTTTTTTTTTGTCGGGAATACTCACGAATGCCTAATATTGTCTGCTGAAGCATTTTCTTATAAGTACCCACGATCTGCAATTAAAATGCACAAACCCAACTCTATCGCATCCAAGCAATGTACGCTGGGCGATAAAGCCCTTCAAGTCGCCGGGACCAGCCGGTTTATTACCGGCTCAATAACAGCAGTCACAGAATTACAAAATAGATGATATGGATTTGGTCATCCTCACTTCTCTGGATCCCAACAATGAACGAGTTGATGTTGGATCTAGAAATGAAGGGAGTACATGTTATGACTAACGATGTGGCAGTAATCTTAGACAGGAAGTTTTCATGGAAACCAAACTTGGATGCTAGGGTGAAGAAAGCAGTTTCAGCACTCTACACCTGCAAACGAGGTGTGTCCCAAAAGGGGGCTAACGCCTTGTGTAGCTCATTGGTTCTACACAGTAGTTGTAAGACCGATCATGACATACGATATATTGGTATGGTGGCTAATAATGGAAAAGAAATACGCGGTGAGACGTATGGAAAGCATACAAAGAGCAGCCAGTATATGCATCAGTAGAGCTCTTCAACAACGCCAAGACAGGCACTAAAAGTCATTTTACATTTACTGCCAACAGACTTGTTCTGTAAGCAATTGACAGCGAAGACTGATGGAATTCTCCCAATTAGTCGGCTGCAATAAAGGGCGTTCTTAGATACTCAGTAAGTTCCCGTTTCTACCCACTACCACGGATTTTCGAAATCAAATAGAATTGAAATAAATCGGTCTCCAATATTGCCTTCCCTACCAGGGAAGAGTGGGAAAGGGACGAGGTGCACAGATACAGAAGGGTCCAAATTGGTGGGAGATATTGTCTTTTCAGCAAACTTAGATACCAAAATCGCCTTCCCGTTACCAGACCACTGCAGTGTCTTCCAAGAGCAGGCTTTCCTCTGGCCACTTGTAAACATGTTATAAATCTAGCTGAGTCTCGGTGGAGACATGCCAGCAGGCTAGGTGCACCATACAATGACTATTGTAGAAGATGTGAGAAGGTAGGAGAAGAGGAGACTGTAAAACAACTTCTGTGTGAATGTAAGGCTATATACACGAAAAGAATCGCAACTATCGGTCGAAGGTTCTTGGTCGACGAACCATTAGTCCCAGCATATACGCCTAGGTGCGTCGTCAGACAGCTACTCTACCTACCTACCTAACTCTATCGACAATTATTTATTTTAATAATAAATCCGCAGCGTGATGGATTTATGTTATTATTCCTAATTTTGTTAACACTAGTTTTTGAACAGAGTGTAGCTTTCTGCCTACAAGTAGAATAAGTCAACTGAAAATGATGAGTGCAGATGAACATGCAGACCTAAGCATGCTGAATGTCTCAATGACATCATCACCAAACATAGGAATGTATATCTTTTGAATAGCCAGTTAAGTTATTCATTGTCTTCGCAATCTATTGTTTTTTGCGATTTAAAAATGATTAAGTATGGTGGTTACAAGTTATTAATACAAAATTTTCATTCACTGTTACTAACTGACCGTTTCTAAAAATGCTAATAGGGTGTATGACACATAGCAAAGAATTTGATTGATGTACTTATATTTACCTTTCTTTCTACTCATATGGTACTATGAAAAGATGAGGTTTAAGGAGTAGATAAAATTAGATAAAAACAAAAAAATTTTGTGTGAGTAAAGTTTATAAAACCACAATATAATAGCTGTCTTAACAAAATAAAATAGTAAATGTTAATCTTAGAGTTAATTTCCAAAAATAGTTCCTTGTGAACTATAATTTTGGATTTTAACAATTTGAGAACTTAGAAAAGTTCTGAGTAAATTTATGAATATATGAAAATCGGACATCGTTATGCTAATACTTTTGCCAATATTTCTCCATACTAGTACTAACCAAAACTAATTATAATCGGGATTTGTCCGATCAAATGCAAAACAGTTTGAAAATTGGAGCTCGGCAACGTTAAAGGAACTATTAAGACGAGACTAACAATAAGCTCCTAAACAAATTTTCTTACACTCAAAAAACGTGCACAAAATTTAAGAAACTACAGTAGATACTCACAAAGTTACTAAAATGATCACGTTTTGTAAAAGTAATTCAAACCTAAACTTACATAAAGTATTTATAACAGTACAAGAGCAAAACAATTAAAAAGTGAAATAAGTAAATCTAGTAAGAACTCGTCTAATTTACAAGTTGAAAAAAGGATAAGAGAAAATACGAGGTGAAGTGGTCTCCTAGAAGATTGTGAGCATGAAGAGACAACGCGGACAAAATTATAAATTTTTCTTTTTGTTTAAATCAAATCTTTTCTTGTTGAGACGTTCTTTTTATATACATATACCATACTTAAAATTGTCAAAGTCATAAATAGTTTCAGCACGGTTCTAAAACAATGAATGAGTGAGATCAGCAAATGGGCATACCATGGTACATCAATGTCATGTCATTTGAGTAGTCAAGTCAATGTTTATGCTGATAAATCAACCTGTTGTGAACCCAATCATTCTGCGCAATATAGGAAAGTATGATGCGATAGGAAAAGTGGTAATAAGTCGCTGTCGGATTAACCATATGATCGAAAGTGTGTTCAGCGAATAAATTATTTAAGTAAAAGAACTATTTTAGGCTTGAATCATGGTTGAAACATTTCTGTGGTGAACTGATATTTTAACAGGAAGAGTATTTGAAAATAATTTAACTTCTACATTTTTGCTATGATGCCTTACTTCTTTGGAGATAGTACAGGCAAAGTTCAATTTTTGTATTAAATCAACTGTCTAGACTCGCTTTAAATCTCAAATGTGCCTCCCACATGGATGCGTTCGTCATTTTTACAGTGCGGCGATGCAGTAAATTTCTGTCGCACTTATCACTTCAAGTGTAAAATATTTTATTCAAATGAATTTCGGCATTCGGGGATGTTTTTCAGCAGAGTTGTGCTGAAATCATATCGCTATGTTATTCAAGGAACTCCGTAACTTTTCTAGAAAGCACAATTATTTTACTTATTGGGTAATTAGTTTTGTATCAATGTGTGTACATGTGTACTATATGTACATACGTGTAAGTAAAACACAGAGGAGTGAACTAATTATTTTAAACCTTTATATTCAGTTATGTAACACATTTCTGTTGAAAAAATGGGCATTAGAACATGGTCTTTGATCATGCCTTACTGGTCATGCCTTAGCTTTTATCTTGATTGCTGACAGTAAACAAGCTGTTATCAATACCGAAAAAGACGAAGGCCTGGTCACAGAGAGTGTGTAGTTAAATTGGGTAGGCCTTTAGCACGGTGAAATTCATTTGGAAGATTATATATGTATATATTTTAGGGAACAAACATATTTTTATATTGGAAAAATAACTCAAATAAAGCAGGAGAGTCCGTAGTTATCATATTAATGTTTGTTGGAAAGTCTGAAGATTCTAACATTTAAACACGGTCGACTTGAAACAGCGGATTTTTTTTTAATGCGTGAAAAACATCTCTCATCAGGGCGAAGCATAATATCGTCAGCAAAATACTCTAACAAGTATTCTTGCATTAAATGAAATTCAAAATTTTAATTGAAATGGGTTTTTATTACGTGTCATTCATGGAATGACATAATATTTTTGATTACATGTGTTTACATAGTATATCATTTTCATAAAATTTTAATTATTTGCGCTAGATTTTTAGTCTGATGCATTTCAAGTGTTAGTCATACAAATACTCTTATTGTCTTAATACTTTACATTTAAGCGTATTGGTAAAATTAATTCAGCTTATTTTGTTGTTGTTCTTTCTGAAAGTTAATTCTTAGGAACAATTTGCTGGCATAAAGTTTAAAGATCTTCAGTGGACTGGTTAAAAAATATTTGTTGTTTTTTAAATGTATTAAATATAAATTAATACAAATTTATCAATTATATTTTTTAAACTTTTTTTACGTGCAATAAAGTGAGCAATTTACACTCTAGGCCTGCAATATTAAAAACAATTAAAAATAGTTCACAAGTTGGGATACTCAGTATTGTGAGCAACCTTGACTTAATTAGCCAGGATAGTTTCGTAATTAATCAAATTTATTTTTGAAAGCATTTCTATTAATTTAATAATAAGGAAAATTAATTAAATAAATGTCGTGAATATGCACTGCAATTGCTTTCTTATTGTTTTAATTGTTTTTTTTTCAACAAAAAGTTATTTCTGCACTAAAATTACAAATAAAAGGCAAGAGGTATTGCTGGCATAAATACAGTCAAATGTTTTTGTAACTATGTACATACTTTCATTTATGACTCAATTCCCCCAAAACTTAATTTTACGTTTGTCATAGATCGTATTTCTCCTAGAGAGCTTTGTTACTACTTAAATATACGATCAATTAAGATATTCTATTTGTGATATGAGTTTGTTAATTCTTTAGGAAAATTATTGCCTTACTTGTTATCATTTTTCATACTCTCTTATTTGGTTTGCTTAGCAAATTTAGCAATTTCTGAATAAGCTACTCTGCTACTAATCAATCTTCCATCACTTACATACTAACATTAACCGCATTGTTTATGCAAATATTACCGTAAGTACTCACTATATTAATATTACTATCAATTTTACAGCTTTTAGTATCAATTTTACTACTCCTACTATTATTATTACTTTGTTCAGCCTTTTTACCAGCATTAGCTTCATCGGCTTTCGCGTGATTTTCGCACTTCAAATTCGGCATTGATGAAAAATCGAAATTACGCCAACCTTGCTGTTCGAACAACTCATTAAACTGCCGCCATTGCGTACTATAATCGCCGCCAAATGAGGCGGATTTCACCTTCACCTTCTTGGGGCTTGAATGTGACGGAGACGCAGCCGATTCCGATCCAGTCGCCACATCGACGTTGACCTTTGCTGACGTCACACACTTCTCCGCACTCGACGTGGTAGTCGCAGTTGCCGATGCTTCTAGATTTTTTGGGCTTTTTTGCTTGTGACTTTTGATTTTCTCACTTAATAGTTCCGCTGCTTTGACAACCTTCAATTTGCCGTTATTGCCTATGTAATCGACTATTTGTTGTGTCGAATCGCTACCCAAGCAAATGCGTCCCTCATTCCCCGTATAACGTATGCCACCGGTGTTATTTGTGATTTTCAGTCTTGTATTATTGCCAATAATTTGTAAATTACCCTGATTGCAACCGATACGTATCCGATTGCCATTGCCAATGATGCGCAAATCACTTTTATTACTCTCTATACGATATTCCTTTGAGTTGCCAACCAAGTCTTTGGTATGACGTGCGATCGACGTCGCTGTTAGGGGTGCGTCCAATGTTTCCGTTTTGCTATACTGATAATTGTTCGCTGCACCGCAACTGCTGTTGTTGGCAAATGTGAGTGTAAGTGTGGTGGCGGCTGCCTTATTTGTGCTGCCAACATGTTTGCAAATGCTGACATTGCTGCTATTGCAATTACTGCTACTGTTATTGCTGTTACTGCTGCTGTTACTGTTACAAGCGCTCTGCTTGTTGTTACAACAGCAGCTGCACTTGCATGCATTGGCTGTTTGGCTCCTTGCGTAATTGCAATCATAACCTGCGGGATCTTCTGGATCGTTTACTGGTATACCCATTTCGTTTAGTTTTTATTTTAAACTATGTTTTTTATACTATTGTTTGTTAAGGAATTTCTTTCGATTCTTTATTTACTCGCCCTCACAGTTATGCGCTCTTTATCTTTCTAATGTGTCGATTTTATATTTTAACCCTGTAACTGGCATTGCATGCCGAAAAATCACCGCTTGCACTCATTAATTCTTCGTGTGCAATCGATTTCACTGCTGAATTTTGTTGTTGTCTATTGTCTCTCTTTCTGTATCAAATCAACCAACCCTTTGCTAATGTCACTGGCAATTATTCAACACTGCTTTGATTATTAATCGTGAGTTAACTATTAACAGGTGACTTTTTATTTTGTATACTTTTCGCACACTAGCAATTGGCATGTCAGTCACTTGCTCCAAATATTTATATGTTTGTATATATATATGTTTCACAAAAATACAGATTTTTCTCTTCTTTTATGGTTTTATTTTTATCTCACAGCTTTTTTCGCTATATACTCATTTGTATGTACATATGTATATGTACACTCTACAAAATACTTTATGCTTTTGTCGTCACTTGGGGAATCACCGCTGCACCAACCCAGATGTAGCGTACTTTATTAAAACAAAGTTTTAACCGAATACTTCCGAGTAGATAAAATTCGTTGCCAAATTGATTTTTATTATTGCTTTCGCAGCCGAATAAATCCTTTATATATTTGTACGTGTGTATTTTACGTTCCGCCGCCGAAACTTGAACGCAGAACGCTCATTTAGCAATGAATGGCGCTCATCGTTGGCCAACGCTTTTATATGAGGCGCGCATATCAGCATTAATTGTATTGTTTTGCCGAGCGTTGGGTACCTTTTAATGGGGGAGTTTTTTGCAAATTAAAAGCAATACAGCTAAATCGGCGCACATGTGCACTCTTACATACACATGTATGTATGTTATGTACAGCGTACAATCAATTGATGTATTATTTGCAGGTTTGCCAATTTTATCTCTCTTGATTGAATTATTTAATTTCTATTATTTACGTATCAATGTTAATAGTTCGATAACAGTCGATGATAAATCGACAAACAAATAATATACATACAGAAGTATAAATAAGAAAATAGTTAAATACAAGTAAGTAATCGGCATAGAGAAATATATATCGGCACGTTAGGAAAATAATAAAAAGTAGTTTTTGCAAACAGCGCGTCCCCATCGACATATAATATCAAAGAGGCAACAAACATAGTCTATCATAGAAACTCATTAGACACTCAATTTGTTTGGTAACCTCAAAAGGCATAGCTCAAAAAAGAGAAAAAGGTTGTCCAAACCATTCAGCTTCGCTATGTAAGTCTTGTGATTTATACAGCTGCCTTTGAGCTTGCTTTGCGGTGAAAAATCTTTAGTAGCCACAAAAATAAAAGTGTCATATTTAATGTAATTATATATTCTAATTATTAAAAGTAATAATTTAAGTGATCTTGACAATTTTCATTGGTCTTACATATGTACATATATGACTAATTATGTTTGCTGTAAATATTCATATCTTTTCTACAACTACAAATATGAGTTGCAGATTACTTCAAATTTTTAGAAATTGTGACATCATCCATTTAGTTCTAATTAATATTTTTATCAAAATACATGTGCCGATATGTGCATATCAAAGTACTACGTTAAAGTATTTGTCATAAGCAATGATTTTCATTTTAGTTACAGAAATCGCTTCTGCGGGCCCAGAAAATATTCACAATAAAGTTGAAACTTTCTCTAAACTTGTAGTTCCATGGGAAAAAACACTTAAAGTAATGTCCTTCGATCGAAGCTGGTAGGATATTTTTGCTGTTTTTTTATGTTTAAGTCGAGCCACTCTTATTTTTGTTACTAATTCTCAGATACTCAAATTGAAATTGTAAAAGAAAGGAAATCAGTAATTTATGATTGTCGTTTGGAGTGACTTTTGATTGGAGAATTCAACCTTGTCTGAATTGAGTTATATGATAAACAAGTGCATAAAATAACGTAAGTGATGTTATTCAAACATCCTACTAATGTACTACATTTAGTGGCTACTGCTCACTTATTATGGTTTGTTTGGTAAGTTTGCTATATTGAGGTAATTCATTCAACTACTTTTGCCGTAGCCAAATAGCTTGGTGTTATACTAAAATTACTTTTATAGACTTGCAACATGTTACAACCAAGAGTGGTATCGAACTATTGCCTCCCCCCAAAATGCCGCTAATCAAAAAACTATAAAGTGCCATAACCAATATCCACATTAAGATACCAAACCGTTATTTGATACAATGAATCGCATTAAGGAAACAGCTCTTTGGTTTGAAAAGTTTTTAAATGTGGGCGTGGCCCCGCCCTCTAATAGGTTTAATGTGCATATCTCACAAGCTACTAAAGCGATCTCAACCTAACTTGTTAAGAAAAGCATAACTTTTTAGCATATCCTCAAACAGTATGAAATTAGGTGAAATCAGATGACAACTACGCGCACTCCCCATATAACGGTACGAAAGAACTTCATGGGTAAAATCCTATATCTTGGGGACCACTTTACCGATTTCAGCTAAATATTTGGATTATTTAGTTAATTTAAACTTAAATAGAGCATTATGTTTTTAAACTGCATGCCTGAAATTTTCTATAAATTTCGATGTAAAATCGATTGTCAAATTTTCAAATTGTGAGTTGTATTTCATTAAACTGGAATTATATTTTCATAAAAAAGAGATTGAAAAGTTATAAATAAACCTAAAAAGATAAAAGTGTACGATCACTGTTATTCATATACATATTCATATATCAGTTATTATTTGCAATTATCAATTTCTCAAGGTTACTACTTTCAACACCTGCGATTTCTTCCCACTTTTTAATAATTGCATTTTATAATAGTTGTTAACTTTATGTATCGATAAAAAAAGAAAAAAATAAATGTAAACCACCCGAACTCGTTCGCTCAGGTGCACTAACTTGCCACTATCACAAAAAATATATAACAGGTCCCTAAATTCATAACAAGTCATAAATTCATTAATATTAGAAAGAAATTTACCTGTAATTTGCATTAACACATTCAAACAAAATACTTTATTAATATTAAATTTTAATTTATTATTTATAAAAATTTTAAATACTAATGAATATGAAAAACAGAAAACTTAAATAATTTAGTCTAAGCTAAGAAGAATTTTTATCTCCGGTAAAATACCAACACGAGTAATATGTATAATTAACAGTCATTAATAACAGTGATGTGAAGATTTTGGCAAGCGCATAGAATTTAATTATCATAATTATATATAATGTTTCGTTTGGAAAGTGTTTGGAAGATGTTGGCAACATGCCAGATATTGGTATTTGTTGCTAGGGGGTGCAGTCCCACATATGTTCCAAAATATATATAACAGAAAATTATAGCCTGAGGGCGTGTATAACTGTTAAAATTTAAATACAGTAATGCCTCTTTGAGGGAACATAATTCGCTTAACTAAAAGTAAAATAAGATCAGTTGTCAAAATTACTCATTTGTTTAAAATTATTAAGGTTATATGGCAGTTTCATAAAAATGGATTTTGAACGGAATTTGCAATATATTTCTTTCTGATAACATTAGAATGGGAAATTTATACGAGGGTTGTTTGTTAAGTGTTGAGATACATATATAAAAATTCAAAAAACTTAATTACATTTTGGCATATTCCCTACAAATTTCAAAATACTTTTTCATGCGTTTGAGAAACTGTTTACGCTCAATGGAAACTTTTTTGAGAGAGTCAAGTTAAGTGATATTAAATGTGACCTATACTTTTTAAAGACTAAATATTCAAGCATTTAGACTTAAAAGATTAGGAGCGACCTTCACTACAGACTAAATATTCAAGCATTTAGACTTACAAGATTAGGAGCGACCTTCACTATTATAGCTACTGAACGATATTTATGACGAATTCATATTTTTCATAAACATGTTTGGCAAACTTAAATATACTATTATTCGTTTGGGAAATTTTGAAGCATTGTATGTTTAGGTGGTACGTGGAGGCTAAAGGAAGGAGTTCCCCTCATACATATGTTTTTGAAATATTTATTCACGAGTATTTCTTTTTAAAAATAGTTATTAAAATGCCCCAATTCCTAAGGAATATGACGTATAAATTAATTTAAAATGCCATATTACCCACATTTGTCCAAACACAATACTTTCTAAAAATAACATTATAAAGCGCGTTTTAAATAACATCACATTATAATGAAATGAAGTAACTGTATTTTAAAAAATCAGTATCTAAAAGTGTAAGTCCTCCCTCAATAATTGTTGCATCAATTAATGAAATTTTTGTCACACAGTTATACAGTATGTACTAAATTAGTTAGTTATGCAGTCAGTAATAACTTTAGCTCATTATATTACAATATATACGACTGGTGCTCATTGCGAATTTGGGGATGTACAATAGACAGACATCAGTTAATAATAATATAGATCAGTGATAGAGCTTTAAAGATTAGTAATATGAGTTAGAATATTTTACGGCGTACGGTTATAATTTAGAAGGTGTAATCAAATAGTATAGCATTTTTTTCATGGTAATGTAATATTAATGATTTCTCATAAATTTGTACGGCGACAAAGTAACAGATGATACAGTATAAGAGCTTTCGACCCTCATCGAATATTAGGTGGACCAGCAGACGTTAGCGATATAGGAGGCGAGGAATAGGTCAAGTGAAAGCCATTTTTCTAAATTAAAAGTGTGAAGAAATGTGGAAATTTGAGATTTTATAATTAGCACAAACCGGAAATTCTTCGATGAATTTAAAGTAGAGATACTATGATTATATGATATTCACTTGGAACATTCAAATAAATATAAGATGTTTTTTTAGAGTTATCCTGTCTAACTTGGTTTGCAAACCCAAGGGATTATTTATACATACTTCTCAAAACTGAAGATGGAGCCGAATTTTCAGGAATCCATGAGCCCTACAAATGTTACCTACAAATTATTCGCGATTTTTTGGTTTTCCACATCAATATAAATTGTCTACAAGCTAAAAAGTTCAATAGGTTTCATACAAAACTCGTAACTGTTTACTGCGCGTAAAACGGTCTCTCCAGAAACAAGCTTTCAAACTGATAAATAAATATTCGACGCAATGCTAGCGAGATATGGGGAGCTACTTGGAAAAAGCAATGCAAATTATCTAAAGGATGGTCGTCACAAGTCGTCAAACAATTTTCGAATTAATAAATACAATTTTTTATTTTGAATCAAAATGTCTATAAATCTTAAACGACAGCTGCTTTAGTAATTGTAATAAAAGCAAAGTTCGCTTTCTTAGCTTTTTTATTTCAAATATCCCATTACTAACAGATTGAACCCGCTGACAAGGCAAAATAATTTGCAAATTTCTTATGATAATGATCGTTATAAAAAATATTTTATACTAATTTGTTTCAAAGCCGTATGAACTACCTTAAAATTTAAAACCAAGGACATTTAGGCATTAAATGCGGTATTTCAAAATATTATCAACTCTTTCATTTAATAAAAAACAAGTAAGTAAGGGTTAAATTTGGGTGCAACCAAACATTTTATACTCTCACAATTTTCAAGGATATTCGAAGAAACCGAATGGAGTACACTTAGCTTTGTTATTATATTCTGTTTGTCTGAAATGTTTATATTAAAATCAGTTTAGATAACTCAACTGAGATACAATGTATATGTTATATAACTCAACCAAAGGAGCTAAGTTTAATTATATGTATTGGGTATATGAGTAAAAAGTCAACCAAAAAATCGGAAATAATTATATTAGAGTTAAGTTAATCCATATAATTTCATATTTTGTCTAATATAAACGGTTTAAAGTCATATGAAAACTCAAAATTTTACGGAAATCACTATATCGAGTATATTTAGGGGCAAGGAAGATCTAGACTTATTTTATTAACGAAAATCATTATATGTAATATATGGATTTGTGGTAATTCGTGGACAAATATCACACATGTTTAGAAATAAGCTATTCAAAGAGTTTGAAATTCGTATATTAGGTAAATGAGCTTGAGACATACTGTTATTTGCGATAGTCGCTATCTGAAATTCTTTAAGATATATCACATATAGACCGGTATACTATACGCTATAAAGTTAACTAGAAGTTGTAAAATCTTTATATTAGGTACATGTGAGCTAATGCAAGTAACATATTGACCCACTTTTGACTCAAGGGCACACTATTATCAGCCATATGCACTTGTGATATACCTACATACATAGTATGTATTCTTAAGCTTAATTATACTCGTATAATTATACTCTCGCAACCTGTTGCTACAGAGTATAATAGTTTTGTTCACCTAACGGTTGTTTGTATCACCTAAAATTAATCGAATTAGATATAGGGTTATATATATATAAATGATCAGGATGAAGAGACGAGTTGAAATCCGGGTGACTGTCTGTCCGTCTGTCCGTCCGTCCGTCCGTCCGTGCAAGCTCTAACTTGAGTAAAAATTGAGATATCTTTATGAAACTTGGTAGACATGTTTCATGGTACCGTGAGACGGTTGGTATTGCAGATGGGCGTAATCGGACCACTGCCACGCCCACAAAACGCCATTAATCAAAAACAAATAACTTGCCATAACTAAGCTCCGCAATAAGATACAAGACTGTTATTTGGTACACAGGATCACATTAGGGAGGGGCATCTGCAGTTGAAATTTTTTTTTAAAAAGTGGGCGTGGTCCCGCCTCTAATAGGTTTAATGTGCATATCTCCTAAACCGCTAATGCTATAATAACAAAATTCACTGGAAGCAAATGTTTTTAGCACTTCTATTGACGGTGTGAAAATAGTTGAAATCGGGTGGCAACTCCGCCCACTCCCCATATAACGGTACTGTTAAAAACTACTAAAAGCGCGATAAATCAAGCACTAAACACGCCAGAGACATTAAATTTTATCTCTGAGATGGTATAAGATGACTTTATAGGAACCGCGTTCAAAATTAGACAGTGGGCGTGGCACAGCCCACTTTTAGGTGAAAACCCATATCTTGAGATCTGCTTAACCGATTTCAACCAAATTCGGTGCATAACGTTCTTTTCATGTTTCTATGTCATAGTGCGAAAATGGGCGAAATCGGATTACAACCACGCCTATTTTCCATATGACACCATTTTAAATACCACTTGATTCTTTCACTTTCCACTATGCAAATCAAGCAACAATGATTATATCGGCGTAAAACTTTGCGTGAATAATACGTTTAAAGTATGCCACCTTGTGACCAAAAATTTTCTAAATCGAACCAAAACTGTTCAAGCCACTAAGTACTAAATATGTGGACCCCAGTGCCTATAGTTGACCTTCTACCGAAAATATCAGTCAATCCACAAAGAAATCTCAAACGAGTATACCATTTGACTTTGCGAGAGTATAAAATGTTCGGTTACATCCGAACTTAGCCCTTCCTTACTTGTTTTATAGGAGTTTTGTTGGCTTGGCAATGGTCCGATCCCGCCTATCTACAATACCATCATTCTTATGGAGACAAGTAATATGTGTTTCATCAACATATCTAAAATTTTATTACAGTTATCGTTATCGACGGACAGACAGTCTCGTCGACTAGATCATTACATATACATACATACGTATTTATAACTATATCTACCTCGATTAGTTTTTCGTGATACAAATAACCGTTTGGTGAACAAAACTATTATACTCTGTTGCAACATGTTGCGAGAGT